ACAAGTTTACATTCCCACCAACAATGAAGTAAGGTTCCTTTCTGTCCACATCCCCTCCAGCATCTGTTGTTGTTAGAGTTCTTGATTTTTGCCGTTCTAACTGGGGTGAGGTGATATCTCAATGTTGTTTTGATTTGCATTTCTTTTATGGCTAGGGATGTTGAACATTTCTTCATGTGTTTATTGGCCATCCTTCAGAAAGAAAATATTAACTCTTATTTCCTACTGTTATGTAAGCAGTCAAAATAAGAGTCAAAATGTTCCTTGAGAACTAATTCATCAAGAAAGCCTATATTACTTTTTTGGCTAAATGACATAGTTGGAAAAATGATGACTGTGTCTTTGATTGTGTAACACCCAGCTATTCTCAGGAATGTATGGCATGCAATAACATACACCTTCACATGATAAAAGGTTCTGAATGCAAAAAGAGAGAGTAGGAAAGAATCATAGACAAACACGAGCTTATGATGTCCTACACTGATCATAGTTAACATCCATCCATTCTTTCCTTTGTCAAATTAAAACATGGCAGGTAAACCCTCTGGCTTTCCCTACTCCTAGTTTCATCCCCTCCCACCCCGCTGCTTCCCTAGACATGAACTTAGTATTGTTCTTGCCTAATTTTACACTTGCCCAATCACTCGTCTGATTCCAGGAACAGGGTAGAATATTCTTGCATCTGTGATTTATTTTTCAAAAGCTTTTCTGGGTAAAACAAAACAAAGATAGAAAAACATACCATGTTTGTCTTTTTTTTAACAGTTTATTGAAAGTTAGAAACTCTTAAAGATCATAGCCCAGGTCAAGAAGGACCAGGCAGATAGCAAGCTTCCAGAAGTTCTAGCTACCACCCCATCTGAGGCCCCTTCTGCCTCTTATTTGATTCCTTTCCCAAGATTATAAATAGTACAGCTTGGGTTCATCAAGAAGCCTCCATAAAGGCCTCTCTCTCATTCTGTCTCCTGTCTATCTGTCTGTCTCTCCCTATGTGTATGTCATTCTAACAAATGTTGGTATCATTTATTTATTAGGAAGTATAAAATTGGAATATCCCAATCGATCATATAATTTCCATTTATTCATTGAAATAGAATCCCTCCACTTCTTTATATCCTCCCTTTTTATATTTTAGAGGACATTTCTTTCCCATAGTACCTAGTGGTATAGAATATGTAGAAAAAGCAGGATAAATGATTATTTATACTTATTTGTTTTCAAGAAAATGCATTGGTTTTCTACTATCATCCCAAAGCAACTTGTTAGTTCTCTTTAAAGCACCATCATAAACTCATGAATATCTGATGGGTTTCAGTCCATTGTGATTATTCTCCTCTTGAAGCTCAAACAACTCTTACCTGGGCTAGGGAGAGCCCCTTCGATTCCATTCCTGAGTGGTTTTGACATGAACCTGGATGACCTTGGACAGCTCCCTGGGTAGCGGGAGTAGCTGGCTATCAGCCCTTTCTTGCCATGGGCTTGAAACCAGTCATTTCTCTCAGAAGCACTGGTTTCTGAAGTGCTATTTCAATACCACAGCCTGGGTGCTCAGGAATGCTCCTTGATGTCAAATATCCATTCCTTCTAAGGTCTCCCCACACAATTAGGAGGTCATCTTCATATGTAATTCTATGCTAAAATGTCTAAGTTGGTGTGATGGTGCATGCCTATAACCCCAGCACTTGGAAGGCAGAAGGACTCTTAGTTTAAAGATGTAGGTCAGTAGTAGAGCACTTGCCTATCATGGATACAACCTGGATTTAATCCCCAGTACACCTACAGGCACACAGACACACACAAATGCGCACACACACAGACACACACACATAGACACACAGACACACAGACACACATACACAGCAAAGATTTAATATATGGATAGTAGAAATCCAAGGAGGAAAAAAAAACACAAGAAAACTAAAGCAATATCTAAAAAGGAAAACTCTCCAGAAGTTAAAAATACATGTTTGAAATCACATATTAAGAGGTCCTATTGCATACCAAAGAACTCCAGTATACAACAATTAACCCTGACACAATTTCTACATCGATAACTAAACTTTGCAAAAGAAAAAATAAGTCTTTGAACATCTAGGCACATACAGCAAGTGAGTTACAAGGAAAAAGAAAAATGTGATTATCATTAGGCTTTTGGAAATAGTATATTTAAAATGATCAGGGAAAGAAATTACACCCCGAGGATTTTTATATCTAGGAAAAAATGCTATTTTCAAATCCAAAGGGCACAGACAGCTGTTCCAAACATGCAAGAATTGAGAGAATAGTGTTCTCTGGAGACATTCCTGAAGAACTTTACACATAACTCCACAGGAGTGTGGCTATGAACGTTAATCATATATTTACAATGTGGATGGGAAGAAAATGGATGTTCTAGGTAATGGTGAATAATAATGGCTATCCAATTCAATTTGCATTCAGCAATTCCAAAGAACAGGGAAATAGAGAGAATGTAACTATCAACAGAACCAGGTATGCGCTGTATAATATAGCTATCAGTCTTAAACTACCAGCTCTGGTACTGCCATTGTTGCTACACTCATAATTGTTGACAGCAGTTAAATTGGATTAGTAATTAGGAGATTTTTTTTTTTGCTGGTCCTGGGCTTGAACACAGGGTCTGGGCTCTGTCTCTGAGCCTCTCTGTGCTGAAGGCTAGCATTCTACCACTTGAGCCACAGTACCACTTATGCCATTTTCTGTTGATGTGGTACTGAGGAATCAAATCCAGGGCTTCATGCATGCTAGGCAAGCACTCTGCCTCTAAGGAGATATTTGAATTATAGCCCATAGGAGATATTTGAATTATACCAATTTCTTTGTTTTTGTAAGTAGGACTCTGTATACCAAGAAGGAAGGAGATAAAGATAAAAAAAAAGCAATTGACAAAAAAGCAAATCTGTACTTCTGGTTTTAAATTTGAAGTATCAGCATGAAATCTTTAGATATTCTCTCTCTCTGTCTCTTTGTCTCTCTGTCTCTCTCTTTCTGTGTGTGTGTGTGTGTTTGTGTGTGTGTGTGTGTGTGTTATTGGCAATTTGTGCATACTACATAACGCTCTACCACAGTGCTAGGTTTCCAAATCTTGGTGGGTTTTTTGTTATTATTGTTGTTTTTTGCTTGTTGAGACAGGTTCTCCCTATATAGTTCCCACTGCTCTTCAACTCATTATGTAGCTCAGGCTGGTCCTTTTCATTTTTTATCTTTGACCACAATCTGCAGATCTAAGCTTCTTGAGTAGCTAGAATGACAGGCATAAGCCACCATTTTTTTAAAATCTTAAAATTATTCTTCCTTTCACCTTTTTTTTTCTTAAGATATTCTCTACTCTTTTCACTTGTTCTTGAGTTCATTTGAGTTTAAACTTATCTTTGATCATTTTTATTGTTCTCTGAGTTCTTTTATTCCAGTCTTACTTAAAAAAAAATCTGAGTTCTGCTATTCTTCCAGATTTTATATCATTTTATTAATGCCTCTTAGCTCATTCTGAAATAGTGTTGTATTTTCATCTTTTTGGCTTGACTTTGCTGGCATGCTTTTACTATCTGTAGGGAAGCTATTCTGTTTCTTATTCTTTTTTTCTTATAATAACTTTGCATGGGAGTTGACCTAGATACATTTTTGTTGCTCATTTTTATGA